GTGACAGAATTTGGATGGATAAATGTAACTAGTTTATACCCACCTCTGGTCACCATGTATGCATCATTTAGATCCTGTTAAAATCTTTAACTAGGCCATTTTTTTCCTCATTGCTGTTGTGTTCTTCTCCAGGTGGAGCACATGGACCCCCACTTCATGCTGTATCCGTACCAGGATGTAGATCCCAAAATGTGTGTGAGGTGTCAGGCGTTACTTTTATTAGAAAATAAATACATTTTTCTACAGATTTCAAAACTTTTTTTCTTGAGCTGAATATGTTGAACTATCAGGGATGTTCTGTGGTTTAATTTACACACCAAAGTTTAAAGAAGACCAAACAGCTGAGAAAAGGCTCTGGTAGATCTTTGGATCTTTTACTGTAGCAGCACAAACTCAGATTGAAAAAGACATTCTCTCTCATGGTAAGATCTAATTATTTTAACTAATTTTCCAGTCCTAGAATTACTGATACCCCTTCACTGCAAAAAGTAAACTAAAGGCTAGAATGTTTTCTTTAAATGAATGGATTTGTACTTTATTTTAATGGGAACTGTAAATAATATCTAAAGAAAGTGTCACAGTCTTGGTTTGTTAGTTCCTGTTTTCTTGGTTTTCCATTTGTTGTCCTCTGCTGCCCCCTTGTGTCCTCTATCCCTAGCTCTGTTTTCTGTTCTGCCCTCACCTGTTTTCAATACCCTCGTTAGCCCTCTCTTTGTCTCTGTCCCCTTTAAAAGCCCTCCCTCTTCAGTTCCTGTTCCCTGGCTCCTAGAGTTTTGGTTTTCCCCTGATGTCTCCTCGGTTCTGGTGCGTTTGTTATTTTCTGTCGGATTTTTGATTCCTGCCTCAATTCCTGTGAACATCATTAAACCCATCTAAATTCACCTCTGCCTACCTGTCTCTGCATTTGGGTCCTCAAAACCAACACCAGACATTGACAGAATATGATTTTTTTTTTTAAAGAAAAAATAGAAAATGATCATCTTCTATTGTCTTACTTGAAATGCAATATTTCTAATTCCAGTATATCTAAGTACAGCTATGATCTGCTTCCGCCCTCCAGCTCCGCCTCTGTCTTCACCTCCTTCAGAGGATGCAACCATCTGGTCTCTGACAGAAAAATACTGGAGTATAAAAAGAAAAAGGATCAACCTTTTGAACAATGGGACCTAATCCAACACTAGAAAACAGAAGATATTTCTACTCAAACATTTCTGCTCTGAATAAATGTTTGCAATATTTATTGTTTTTTTTATTTGTTAAATTTTTTAATGTTTCATTTTGCTAACTACAAAATAAGCACCTCCTTATGGATGATAATAAAGTATATTTAGAATTTTGGTAGCATTCATTGCTGCCATAATTTATAAGCGGAAATGTTATCAGAGGCGTAGCCAGAGCATTTTTTTTAAGAAAGCGGATAAGCACCAGAAACTCAGGGTCAGTCTACACTGTTCCAACAGGAAAATTAATGAGAAAAACATCCACATTTTCTAAATAAAGACAAACTATACTTTTCTACAACCTTTGCTGACAAGTAGACACATATATTTAAACATCAGTGCTTTCTAAATAAAAGGTATACTGGATCAAACTCTTTCAGTTTTGAGATCTGGGGTGTAAATCTTTCCATCGTCATTACTTACTTACTTGTATCAATAAACATTCTGCCTAAAATGTATATTTGTATGCACTAATATCTACATAAATTGATTATTTGATAAGTTTTTATTAAAATTGGTATTTATCTATGATTGCACTGAAGACTCCCAGATGACTTGCAGAGACACGTTTTCTCTTTAGCATGTATAACACAAAATCTAGTTCTGAAAAGAGCATGAATTCTGTATTTATCATCTTTGATAGTTTATTGATGTGTATAATTAACCACAAAAATGTCAATGTTTTGAATATTCCACTTGAGAGTATTACTGCTGCCACCATCTGTATTAGAGGGAAAAAAATGATAGGGGTGGCCAATGATCAGTGGGGTCAGAAGTACACACATTTGTTATTTAAGTAGAAGTATAGATACTGCAGTTTAAAAACACTCTGGTAAAAGTTGAAGTATCAACTTGGCCTCTTTACTCAAGTAAAAGTGAAAAAGTATGTGCTCCAAAAACTACTTAAAGTATAAAAGTATAAAGTAACCTTTAAAAAAAAAAAAGCCAGATGCCACTACATGAACTGAAAGCTCAGTTTTACGACTATTTTGAAAAATTCTTTGAGATAGGGCCAAGGATGAGGGGGGTCTTGTTGGTCTCATTCTCCTGATACGCTCTCCTCTGTGTCCGACCTTTCAGACATTTCAACATCTTTTTCTGAATCCTACATTGTAGCCTGGCATAGACAATTCACGTTTACAGTTTGAAGAACACCTGCTTGCTTCTGATGATTTCCTTTAGCTAACCAATGAGTGTTTGCGTTATATGACTCATCCAATCACACTAGTTTTCACTAGATGTGGATGGAGCCAATGATCTGCATTGGATGGAGCACATGACATGAAATAAATATTTATAAACATTAAACTGAAGCCAAGAGTAACGAGTAACGTTTGTTTAAAAATGTAAGGAATAGAAAGAACAGATTCTTGTGTGAAAATGTAATGAGTAGAAGTCAGAGGTAGGAGGAAAATAAGTAATGGAGTGAAGTATAGATACCTAAAAAGTGTACTTAAGTACAGTAACAAGTTACTTGACACCTCTGCCAATGATTGGTTAAGGGTAGCCATGGCCACCCCTGGGCCCCCATCTAGCTACGCCCCTAGTTGTAATGTCTCCAAACGTCCACAGCGGGGCAGAGTGGTTCAATTAAACTGATAGAGTGGGAGAGAGAAAAAAGGGCCAAAAGTCTAAGAATCTGTCGCTTTATTTGTTAAAATGTGTTTCATTTGTGAAAATGTGCGCATTTTCATCCTATTTTGCACCCGTTGCTCTCCTGTTGCTCGCAGCAGCCTTTAAACCAGTCTCCCCACTCCCTCCCACATCCAAACGCTCCTGAACTGGAAGCAGTCCAGGGCTGTGGTTCCAGCCTGCTGACAAAACCCAAATCAGCCCAAAGAGCGCAGCTCCTAATTGGCTGAAGGAGATCTGTCCGATGATTAGCGCTCTGCAGCAGACGGTGGATTAAAGCTGTGGGTCTCTCATTATTAGAAAGCGCTCGTCAGCACATCTATCCACCCATCTTAAAGGGAGGCAGGCGGCTGCGCTCCCATTTTTCTTCCACCATAGCGAAAGGACGGAGGGAACATCAGGGACGTAGGAACTGGGAAATCCTCCCGAGGCAAGTCCCACGACGCTGACGCGCCACGCTCCCCCACGCCGCGGCAGGCTTTCATCCTGTGCTCTTCGGCTCAAGATGGCGGTGCAGGCAGCGGAAAAGGACGGGATAGTGAGTATTTTCCAAGCCCGATCAGTGATCGGAGGCTGCGGTGGTGCGTTTATCTGGTGGAGGTCATTACGCGCCGTTATCTGGATGTATGGTTGTTGTAAAGGTGGGGGGGCTGAGCGATCAGAGCGCAGGGGGGGACTCCTCTTTCATCCAACTATCATCTATCTGTGGGCCTGAGAGGAAGCCAGGAAACCCAGTTTTAATGTGGTGCCTTCATCCAGGCTGCCCAGCTGGAGATCTGGATGCGCTCAAAGCGCCTGGTGTTCAATCCAAGCAGCTCCCTGATCCACAGGGATGAATAAACCTGCCAGATCTTCATTGTTGTTGTCCGCATGCGGGGCTACAATAATATCAATTATTGATCTGGGTGTCTAACTTCAGCCCTGACTGGTTCTAAGCTCCTGATCTGTTCTGTTCTCTCCAAGAACATGAGCATGGATGAGGAACACCCGCTGAACGACTCACTGGGGAACTCCGGGCTGATCTCACCCGACAAGGAGGATTTATCCCGTCTGCTGGTGAGAAATGCGCCCCTCTTTATTTTCTGTATCGCTGTCTTTGAGCAGAGTTATCATCATGCAAATGAATGACTGATGAGTTTATCTGATTTTTTTTCCCTTTGTGCGCAGACTGTGCCTTTCAGCGGGCGCATCCGCGGCGGAATGCGGCCGGGCAAGAAGATCATAGTGATGGGCATCGTGGACCTGGAGCCACACAGGTGAGATAAAGGCCCCAAAAAGCAGCTGATCGTCCTCATCTCTGCATACTTAACATCCTATATAAATCTGTGTGCACTGATTGTTTTTAGATGAGATCCTTTTGTTCTGTTTTTCTTAAACAAACTTGCAAAGCCACTTCATGAGACTGTGGACAGGAGCACTTTAAATATGCAGAGACAGGGCGTTTCCTCACCAGCAGGGAGGACATGAAAATGAAGGGGAAAATATGAGGAATAAGGAGCAATGAGGCAGCTTTGTTAGGGTGTGTCCTTACACTGTATGCAGACTTGTTCTAAAACTGGAAAAAAAAAACTCTCCATGACCTCATCTTGTTCAGAGGCTGCTGCTGGCAGATGATCCAAAGTCTAAAGTTCATGTGAAAATAGACTTTTTTCCAATTTAGAAACTTCCTCGAGAGATGCTTGATTATGTATGAGCTGCACAGCTGCAGGGCAGGATGGCATCAGGGATTATGCATAATTAACACACACATGGTGAGCTCTTACACAGCAACAGCAGAATTATTTAAGTCTCATCCCAGATTAGCTAGAGACATTAGCACATTTATTGCCCCCACTGGTAAAGATTTGTTTAAATGGATTCATTTTTTATGTCCAGAAGTGACAAACTCTCTGAGAAGGCATCATTTCGAGGAACAACTGATGATTTATGGAAAAGCAGCTCATGTGTTATTAAGCAGGGTGGAGGTTCCGTGGTGCTGTGGGACTGTTGTCGGCATTTAAAATAACACAAAATCCATTATCTTCCAACACCCTCTCAGTCCCTTGACTTAGGAAACTGAAGAGAAGAGATGATGCTGGGCAGGAAAGATAAAAAGATGGATTCATAGGTTGTTTTTTTTTTAAACATTACTGTCCAGTTCACGGTCTGAACTCCTACGTCTGCTGCCCTGTAGAGCATCCTTCCTGACTTGTTTCTCGTCTCCTCAGCTTTGACGTTAGCCTCACCTGCGGGCGGGATTCAGAAAAGGACAAGTCGCCGTTCGACGTGGCGCTGAAACTCACCGCTCGCTTCAACGATCGCCAGTTTATGCGCAGCGCCTGCGTCTCGGGGAAATGGACGGAAGAGGAGGCATCCACCGACTACTTTCCTTTCATCCCAGACCAGCCATTTAGGGTAAGTGCTCCTCTCTTATCTCAGCATAGGATGAACCCCATCCCCAGAGACCTGTAGGGTGAGAGTTCCATCTATGGTTGGAACATTAATACCTAAAAACAAGAACTGCATTTTTGGAGCTGATACTGGTGAAGCCATTAAAGGTGGATCTGAAGGGATTAGCTAAGCTATTGAATGAAAGCCAGAAAAAATCAAGTAAATAACATAAGCTTAAAGGTATAGAGGATGATCTTTTATTTCCGGGTGGATCATCTAAATAAGTGGTCCTCTTGATTGTCAATCATTCTGGTGATGTGTTTAGATAAAGCTGTCCTACGCGGTTGTCCCGTGTTCAACCCTCCCAAAGTTACAAAGTTGAGTTTTCAAGAAGGAGCATCAGTATGTACCAAGTGCTAAATACTGACCTGAAAAGCATTTAATATACATTTTAAAGTAAGCTAATCCTTTGGTCAAAACTTATAGTGTTGCTTTAAATGACATTAGGGAAGCATCTTTCTCTTCATTCCTCTGAGGTCCCATGTGGCATGGTGGCCAACTCCCCCAGTGTTAAGCTGCACTTCTTGTCGGTGAAAAGTTTGCATCTTTATTAGCTAGCTGCTTTTAGTTTATATAGCTTTCACTTCTTTGTATGTTCTGATTTGCGTCATTTTTCAATTATTTTTGGAGTTATCAAAATGTGTGTTTTTGCACCTCTCAGCCACATGTTTGCATAAGGAATGGATGTGGGCGTGGCTAAAGAGCTCTTTTGTTGTAATGAAATTCTATCATTGGGTTGGTTGAATGATCATCTATGAATGTAAGAACTGTGCAGCATTGTGTCACAAGGGATATTTTTTAAATTTACAGGTAAAGCATATTTTTAAAGGCTGCTTAGGATTCAAGAGGATTCTTTACATGCACCATACATTAACTATAGCTGGTTTTGTTAACAACACTCTTCAGTGTGGAAGTTGTTACTGATGTTAGCAGGCTCTATTTAGTTATCTGAATCTGTAAGGTATTAAAAAAATACCAGGAAATGTCAGAAAGGTTTGTTTATTTTTGGAAAGAAGCTGCATTTTTAGCCTAGAGACTTTTATTTTATTATTCAGCTGCTGCAACAGGGAATTGGTGTCAGCAGATGGCAGAAAGAAAAAGGTATTTAAGCAAAATGATTCAGTTTGATCTATTAAGAATCCAGCTGAATCTGCCTGTGAGGAAACTATATAAAAAAATGTTTGCAATATTTTGGAAATATCCATTAATACTAAGGCGCCATGACTTTAAACCATGTAAAAAGTGCATATCAGCATTGTCTGTTGTTCGCATCATGGGGGATAGGAAGGAGAATCTAACATCTTTGTTCTTGAGTTTGTGAGATGATCACCTATGCTGCACCTTCTCTGTCTAATGTTAACACAGCCTGCATACGATCAGTGGTCTGTTTACAAAACTCGCATAAGAACAAAGTCCTCTGGGAGGGAGGAGGCCTCCTGATGAACAGCTGTGACTCATTGCTAGTAAAGATCAGGACCTGTTGGCTCATTTAATTTAATCACGCTCTAATAAATTCAGAATATTGCATCTGCTAAAAATAGGACGAGCTGTTCATCCGCCTTTTAATCCTGAACTGCTGCTGCACTCACTTTTTTTTTTACCATTCTGTTCACAAAATACTTTAAGACGCGGTTTCTGCGGGTTCTACGTACTCGCTGCCATCTACTCTCTGATTAGGCTTCGCTGTCGGAAGCTGGAGCGTGGAGATTAGAGCCGCCATGTTTAAAACTAACTGGGAAGCATGTGGGCAGACGCCTGACATGCTGTGGTTTTACAGTGAGAAGGCTCATTTCTGCTCAACTGTTAATGGATGTTTCCTTTGGCCTAAAATTGGTGCAGAAGTCATCGAGGTCCTTATATGGTTGATGTGTTTGTTACTGTATTTGGTCAAAGTTGCACTCTATGAGTTTGATGTTTATCGTTGGTTTTGCTTCAGGGTTTTGAAAAAAGCATAGAGAAGAAGATTGGGCGGGGTGGTGGGGGTTAAATGGACCAAGTAATCTTTCCCAGTTAGAGCCTGAAAGAAATGAAATATTTGAAATACCTGACTGAGGGGTGAAAGAGATTGAAATTAGGATTAATGCAGTTATTTTTTTAACCATTATTTTGTCAGGCATTTTAAAAAAAATCCTGCAAAAAACATTAAATCAATCATATAGGCAGAAGAAAGATACCTTGCAGTGCAGGCTAACATTAAGTATCCACAATCATTTTCAAGGGATTTTCGGAAGTGTAAATATCATAAAGGAGCTGTGATTTTTATTTTTATTTTTTTTTTTTCCACTTTAAAGCCACCCAGTCTTAAATATACTCTACTGGAATTTTAAGACTTAGGCTTGGACTTAGACAAACTTGTGTACAGCTTCAAACAGTGAAATAAACATTACCATTTAAAGTGCAGCAGTGATCATTATGTAAACAAGAAAAAAAATAATGGCGCAAAAAGGCATTAATATGGAAATGTCTGTTAGTGCAAAATAAATATGGTGCAAAATGCAGCACTGAGTTGTGTCCTATTTAAAAGAATTATAAAAATTCAGCCACGGTGGTGCTGCAAAATAATATTTTGAATGTGATGCAGAGGCCAGTTTAAAGTAGAACAGTTCAACAGTCTTATGGCAGCAAAGAAAAAGCTGTTACAGAATCTGCTGGACCTGCATCAGATGCTTGGAAGTCTCTTCCCAGAGGGCAGCAGTGAAACAGTCCATGATGGGGAGGGGTGAGCGGTCAATAATAATGTTACGGGCTCAGGACACGCTGCGCTGGGTTAAAAATGTCTTCTTGGAGGGAAGAGGAGCCCCGATGATCCTCTGTGCTGTTCTCAACACTGCTCTCACCTTCTTCCAGTCTGAGGCGCTGCAGCCTCCACACCACCCAGTGAGACAGCTGGTCAGAACGCTCTCTATGGTGCTTCTGTAGAAGGTGAGGATGGGTGGGGGCAGGTGGGCTCTCCTCATCCTCCTCAGGAAGTACATGCGTTTTGTGCCCTTTTGATCAGTGATATGGTGTTTACATTCCAGGTGAGGGTGTCTGTGATGTGCACCCCCAGGAATTTGCTGCTTCTGACCACCTCTACAGCTGAGCTGTTGATGAGCAGAGGAGCGTGGTTAGGACCGTTCTTCCTGAAGTCGACAATGATGTCATTCCAAAAAAAAATAAAATGAAAAACAATCTACTGGACTTTGTTTCCAAGTTTGGAGACGTTTCGCTTCCCATCCAGGAAGCTTTTTCAATTCAAAATGTCCGGAATAGCTTTGAGTTTGAGGTTTTAAGAAACGTCTTCAAACTTGGAAACCAACAGAAAGTAGCGCAGCACACTGAAGTGCAAGGAAAATGCTTTATTTTTTTGTTTCAACAAGGGCCGCAAGTAACGATTAACTTGCTAATCAATTAATCCGTAGATTATTTATTCAATTAACTGATTAATAATCAGATAGTAGAAGGATCCTTAAGGAAGATTTTTTTTACTGAATTAAATCAAGTGAAACTAAAACTTTTCCACTTCAGGGACTCTGGGTAGAGCATTTTTTTTTAAATATCTTTGATACAACATTTGTTTGTTTTTTTGTTTTTTGCGATTTTGGTACAATTACCATATATATATATATATATAAGTGGGTCGCTCTGTCAGCCAAAGGCATGTTTTAGAGTCTCTATGCTTCAGTTAAGGATTAATCGATCACTAAATTATTTGACAATTATTCTGATAATCGATTAATCAACATTTAATCCAATTAATTGGTTCAGCCCTTTCCATCCATCCATTTGGTCTGACACGCTTTATCCCGAGTGGGGTCACGAGGGGTGCTAGTGCCCATCTCCAGCTGTCTACGGGCGAGAGGCAGGGTACTGTTTCAGCCATAGTTTTAACAAAATCTCAATATTTTTATCTGCATTCTTATTCAAGCTCCAGGAGCTCCACTGTTCCAGGTGCAGGTTTCTGGTTTTGATCTCTACCATCTCTGCTCTACTTGAGGCTGAAAATGCCTGGTATTCTTCTGCAGAGCGGCTCATGCTTGGTCAGTTTGGATGGAGAGTGTCTGTGAATTGCTAAGTCTAGGTCTAGCCACACATTCCCAATTGAATTTGTATTTGTGCTTTGACTAGGACATTCAATCATTTATCTAAACAAGGTGTTTATCAATCCCAGACCCACAGACTGATGGAGACACAAAGCCAGGACCCTCTTGTCATGCTGTGCTTGGTGATAGCTGGTTTAGGGTTGCTGAGAAGGGATGGAGGGGTGGTTCCTGCGCAGACCCAAAGGGTTTTAGAACAAATTTCCACCTGAAAATATACTGTGGTTCGAAACCCAGTGTGAAGCGGCCGGGATGAGGATCAGTGCCTCCAAATCCGAGACACGGTGGAGGGACTATGTTTCTCTGCTGGCCTGGGAGCGCTTTGGGATTTCCCCGGAGGAGCTGGCCCAAGTAGCTGGGGAGAGGGATATCTGGGCCTCCCTACTGAAGCTGCTACCCTGTGACCCGACCCCGGATAAGCAGAAGAAGATGGATGGATGGATGAATGAAGATCAGCTTTTAATGCAAATTTTGTGTTTTGTTTTTTTTTGTTTAGTTTCTTTAACTGTAGACTATATAGCAGATGTTAATATTCTGCTAGATTCATTTGTGATCAAGCACAATAAATCTTAACATTGCTTTTAAAATTCCGGCCTTAACCCTTTAAAGCCCGATCCAAGAATAAAACAAAACAGAAAATTACTTTTTTTGGTTTGAATTCCTTATTTGCCCTTTTATCAAAATATGTAAAAAGAAAAAACAGAAATACATTTTTGATATTAATAATTTATTACTATGTGATAAGTCAAGATTATTTTTTGTGTAGTTTTCCACTGGCTTTTATCAGGTATATCTGATTGTGTACAATAGGATTTTAAGCAAAGTTTTTACCATTAAATTATGCAAAACATTTCAGAAACCGTATGTATCAAATACGATACATTTGGCATTATAGGGTTAAAGACCATAGCTATAATTTCCAGCCCTCCCGGGCATTAGGTGGGACACTTACGCCTTCCTGCTCTCGTTCAAACCTTCAGTTGTACCGTTTGCCAGGTCTGCCATTGCTAAACATTAGCAAATGTTCAATTTATGGGCCCAGAAAAAAACCATCAACTCCTACATGACTTCTGGGCCGTTTTTTTTCATTAAATCACCCTAATTTTCTTCTCTCTTGGTCTGCCTCAATCCTAAAAAAAAAATGAATTAAATAAATAAAAATCCTCAATGTTTGCATCGTAAGCAGAAGTAAATATTTATGTTTTGGACCTGTCAAATGTATTACTTTAAAGTTATAATTTCTTTATTTAAAAAAATAAAATGAATACTTATTCTGCACCGATACAGACATTCTGTGGATATATTATTTAAAAAAAAGAAAATTTAGATGTAAACTTGGTAGCTAAGACCTTTAAAGGCTGGAGACCATGTGTTTTTAAAGGGTATCCCAGTTGGGACCACAGACAAATCTTAGGGGGTGAAACCCCCATGATGAAGACCTCTGATCTAAGCCTAACTTTGGGTATCTGTGGCTTGATGTTAAGGGTTGGTGCCTCACTAGAAGATGAACCTGCACCCCTCAAGGCTTGTTATGTTTGACCAATAATCTCCTTTTTTTTTTTTTATTCTTTCCTGCAGGGCTAATTAATCCTAAGCGCTGCTCAAACAAAAGGTTTTTAAAAACTTTTCGGGGTCACCTTAAAAGATTTTTTACCTTTCCTTCCACTTTAGCAAATAATTCACTGCTTCATGTTGGAACATCATCCAACATGGCCCAGAAATGGGTTCAAGTTTATGATTGTTTGCTAACAAATTGAAAAGTTTAGAACTCAATACATTTGTAAGATATTTTATGTGTTTTTTTTTTTTTTCAATCAAATGTATGCAAAAAAATTTGTTCACTATAAGTTTTTTTTTCTTTCACCCTCCATCTCTCTCTGCAGATTGAGATCCACTGCGAGCACCAGCGCTTCCGGATATTCGTGGACGGACACCAGCTCTTTGACTTTTATCACAAAGTAAAATCCTTGCCCTCTATCGACACGGTACGGATACAAGGAGATCTACAGATCACCAAGCTCGGTTAAGCCTTCCTCTCACTGGAGTTCCTAGGAGTGTTTAAAGCAAAGACTTGATTATAAAACACAAACACACATTCGTCTGTTACATCATCATCTATCCTGCCCCGCTGCAGCAGAGTTCCACATGGGGGAAACAAAAGCTCTACAGAGGGAACCATCTAAGGTTTTACTGCTTTTTTTCTAATTGGTCTTCAGGACTTGATTCACCGCTGGAAGTCTGTTGTTTCTCGTTTATTTGAAATTGTTTTTTTAATCATTTTTTTTATCCAGTTCTGCATTTGTGATTCTGAGCGCTTTTAAAGTGTAAATTCTTCACAATTCATAAATAAAAGCAAACTTCTAGAGTAGAATAGTAAGGAGAAACTATGAGCTAAAGGAAAAAAATTTTTTTTCATTTTTGTTGCTTATGATCACGAAATTCAAGGATACTTCTGCACAGAAAAAAAAGTTCACATATTGATCAAGATTTGCGCAAATTTACCATTAGAGCAGAATGTGAGTTTCATAGCAGATCCAAAATGACGTTGCTGCTTCATCTGTGTGTTTGGATTAGATCTTCCAAAGCTGGAGGCATAGTTTCAGTTTGAATTAAGACTCTTGTTACTGCAGAACTAACTGAGTGTCTGTGTAGACGAGCTCCTCTGCTCTGCATAACGTTTATCCCAGTTTACACGATTCTCTGCAGCTTCCATCGACCTAAATACCCAAAAAATAAGGATTATCTTGAGATGTCCCATATTTTATTTGCTGCATTTGTTGGCAGCTTCCTGCTGTGGTTTTTTGTGGCTCTTGCTGATAGGAAGCTGAAAATCATCTTGAAGTTGCCTCTGGATGGTTTTGTTCATGGCAGGTTGTACAAACGTTGCTCTTATTTTAGTTGCCCTTCAAACCTGGTAGCAAGACTGAAATCAGGATCAAATCATTGTCGGTACTTTGAATGTATGATGTGCATGTTTCCAAAAGTGTGTAGAAGATGTAGTGATGTACATAATTAATTTAAAATGTTTACTAGGTTTTTTGGGGGGGTTATGTGGACTGTAACATCACAGTTCACCAACTTTTGTGTTCTTACATTCCTATTTTGGTCTCCTGAATCATTCCTCACCAGCTCACGGTGAAGATAGCAGCTTTTCCTAAACTCTACATGCAATGTACTGTGGTGTGCAGGAGAACTTGTTTCTCAGCTCAACTGTAGTAAAACTGCTAAAAGTCTTACTTTCTGCTGGTGCTGCTATTAATCCTCTTCCTATATTTACCTTTTACATTGCTGCCATTTCCTGCCAAAGCTTCATATATTGAAATATCTGAATATCTCACTGCAAGAAAAGGATTTTAAGGCTTTCGAGTCAGGATGAGTTCATTTAATGTTTCTAAATATGATATTTCCCATCAACTATCGTCTAACAGACCAATTAAATGGAATTAAATTGAACTATTTGGAATCGATGCTATATGCAGTTTGTCTCCACCGGTTTGTTGAGGTGTTTACTATAATCAGCAATATGACCCTAAAGGATCAGCTTTCTGATTAACCTCACTTCTGCAATTTTCATTTCTTTTATGCACAGTGACAGCATTAGTCATGGAACCTGACTATCTTCCTAAGTCTTAATCCTGACTTTAGGATGCGCTCTTTTGGAATTTTTAACTGGGAGGTTTGAAAATTTGAAGGGAAAAAGAATGCATCATGATCTGAATTTGTTGCTCTTTTACAACCTAAATGGATACATATAGGTCTGGATTACTTCTAGGAAGCTTTAATTTGATTATATTATAAAATTATATTTGTAAATTAGCAATTTACTAAGAGGTTTACCAAAGGATGACATTTAGGTTTAGAAATTCAGCCTAATTGGTTGCATTAACCTAAAGTTCCCTGTTTTGTTTTTTTACTTGTCTAAAATTTAAAAATAAATGAAATCCATGTTAATTATAACAAGTTCAAAGGTTTTCCTATTGTTGCCTTGAGCTGGGAGGTAGCCATGACATCAGTGCATAACTGAGGCGCTGACTTCACTGGCCAGAATTCCAACCACCGTATCTCTGGGGATTTTTTGTTTTCATATTCATGCAACATTCAGAGCTGTAAAGGAGTCTCTGTGAGCCCATGTATGCACTAACTGTTCTTAATAACATCGCTGCTGCATGAGCCCCGGGTGGTCTGAGTCTTCCTGAGTTCAGTCCTTCTTCTTTGCTGGCAGGCCTTCCTTTATTCCTGGAACAAACAGGAAGTGTGCGCGTTGTGGAATGCGAGCGCGTCAAGAGATCCTGGCATCAGATCAAATCAGCAATGTGTGATTGTGAATTAATGGTGGCTATAATCTCTTTTTTTGAATAATTACTGTTTGCATTACTACTGCCTGAACATGTTATGGTCTGTGTGACTGGTGACAGTGTGTTGGCAGTAGGTTTCAGTACTAGATGTGTTTCGTTGAGTCTCTTGTTGGTGGATCCTCCAGCCGTCATGAAGTTTGCAGAGTTGACGGCTGCAGGGATTACAGGGGAGGGAGATACTGTAAACAATCGGGGGGGAATTACCGGCCTCAGACCAGGAGGCTCTGTGTTTACATCAGGCTTTCATGTTGGAGTTTCATCTGGTCGCTTTAGTGGGTTGGTATCAGTTTCTCAGTGTAACGCTTGTGGGGGTAAAAAAACCTTTTCAGCATTTTTCACCAAAACTGAAAACAAAAGAGTAAATCAGTTTATGCTGCTGCAAAATTGACCAAAAACAATCTTAAAATGGTAGAAGTTGGCTAAACCCTGTATAGCTAAACGTTTGGGGAGATTATTTCTTCCACCATCATTCTCTTAAGATGTTTGTCTTTCATGAACCAAGAACAGAGCGTTCTTTCAAAGAGCTGATCAACAGCAGCAGGTGTGGGAGGGGCAACCGAGCATTATTTTTATCAAACTCTCACTGCTCTGGCACATTTTCAAGGATCTTGTTTAAAGGGCTTCAAACTGTTCTAAATGTTAGAAACAGTAAAATTTCTGCAGAACCTGGTAAAAACAGAGCAACATCACAAGGTACTCCACTTTATCGGCTTGAAGGCTACTGACTCCCAGGAGCTGGTGAACAAACTCTCCCTGTTGGTCTCCTTATGATCCAATGAATTTGGGAAGTTAGCTTTTGTAACAACAAACTGTCTCATTATTTGACCTACAAAGCTCCCTTTTAGAATCAAAAAAGGTAACCGCAGAATTGAATGTCTCTCTTTCTGATTGTAACCAGATGAACTTTTGTTTTTCCTCCTCCGGCTCTTATTAGTAAAAGAATCCACTTTATTTTTATTTATTTTTTGCTAAATTTTACTAGTGTTTTTCCTATGTTTGAATTTAGATGTGGTGGGCGTGGCCTCAGGGGATTCGTCTTTCCCTACTAAATGAGTTATAAAGCATAACGCAAACGGACTCGCCCATTAACGTTTTTTTAGTCAAGTATGCAAACATTCATAATTTTTTTTCGAATGCAATACTTTCTGCATTTAATTGGACTGTTCTTAGATAAATATATGTATATATAAATATGATTTGAAATGTCCTGTTCCAATGGACATTTGTTAAGATCTGGAGTGAATAAGTTCAGTGATTTTCTTTAAAAATGCAAAAAAAACAAAATGGGCCGTCATATGAAATACTTGATCCCAGTTATTTATAAAGTGTCCTCCTAGTAGAAGTAGGCTGATCTCTTTTATAATGTATTATGTGGCTGTACAGGTGTTTTTCTAATCATTTATTTCGGTGTAATCTGCAGGACCATGTGTGTTAACAATGAGCCGGCGCCATGCTGTTGAAATAAAGGCATATTGAAAAGTTCCAGTTTCTTCAAACATTTAATTATTTTCCTCTTGCTGATTTGGGGGTTAACCAACCAGTCTATATAGAATGATAATCTCATTATGCTTGATATTCTGAATCTTTTTGATCCGATCACAGATGTTTTTTTTTTTTTTTTTTAACTAGGTAATTATGAAAGAAGCTCTTAGATTTACATGAACGTCTTAGTCAGTCCATCAGAGATGGTGGTAAAGCAGAAGATTCTACTTTTTTTCTTTTTTTTTGTATAAAACACTGACTTTGCAGACAGATTTCTCATCATGCACAAACTCACTGACTTGATCTTTCAATTCTGACCTGTAGATGAGAGAAGCAGCAGCTACAACCCTGAAATAAACATAAATGCACAAATAGATTTAATTTTTAAATAGATTTAATTTAATGTCTTAATCTGCAGGATCTAAAAAAAAAAAGCATTTCAATTTGCGGTCGGGAAAAAATCTATTTCCTATCAAATCCCATCATAATATTTTAGTCTTCACTCAGGTCGTCGCATACCTGCAAGGTTACACAGTGTCTGGGTGAAAGGGGCTGTTTTAAACAGAAGATCATTTTTTCCCATCACAGTTCAGAATCCTTCCTCTCCAGGTTCTTCAACATTTTACTTTTTTTTTCTCACACTGTATGTAACTTGCTCTTGAACCTGTATGGGGAAAAACTGTAGCCTTTTCCAGGCTCCTTAAACCTGTGAGAGTCAGAATAGGCAGGAATATTGCCAACTGCATCTGTCCTTCCTTGCAAGGTATTCAATATAATATTGGCTTGAACGGGGAACAGCAGATCTCAATTTCGTGTTAAATAAGACTCAGACTTTTTTCTTAAAATAAAATGTTTTGTAATGTTTAAAAGTGCCTTTTAATGTGAAGTCCTGTACCAACTAACTGAAAAACACACTGGCAACAAAGAAAATTAAAAACTGCATAAATGTATACACCCCTAAGCTAATACTTTGATTCTCATTGTTTGGCAAACTGACATCAGTCATGGGGAAACTGGTTAACCACAATTAAAATTTAAATGCACACTTAAATGCTCACTTAATTAAAACCAGGGTTTACACATTGGGTGTTGAAAGACCGCTACAGTAGATCCTCCTATCTATCAACACCCATAATAACTTGTTTAAAAAAAACAAAAAAAACCTTAGCCATTGCAACGTTTTATTTCCCTTTGGGATTAACAACGTATTTTTGAATTGAATTGAATTTTGAAGGATGTCAACATAGCCTTCACAGCACAGCCACAAGGAGATTAGTGTCCAGTCTAAATGCAAACTGTAAAATGCAAGCATTTTAGTAATGTTTTAAAAATTTGGTGACTGAACAATACCGAAGGAACACCATCAGGCGGTGGTAGCATCATGATCAAGAGTTTTTTAATCTTTGAAATGTTTTTATAGTGGCTGAAAATATTTCAAATGCTTTTTAAAATGCAGAAAATATTTGTTTTTGTGGCCAAAAGTAGCCTTTATTTTCAAAGTACTGTGACAGGAAGTGGTTTGAAAAGAGGAGGAAGACATGCAGCTAAATTTGAACCTTAAAGGTATAGTGGTGGATGTTCTCTTTCTGGGTGGATCATCAAAATAAGTGGTCCTCCTAATTGTCAATCATTCTGGTGATATGTTTACGTTAGGACGTCCTATGTGCTCATCCCCATTTTCACTTAAGTGGTGAGTCTGACATTAATGGACAAATTGCAAATCTTCTTTTGGAAACTAAGCTTGTATGAACGATGCAAACAGCAACTTTTAAAGAGTGTGCATGAGGAAAATTGGGCTTGTGCATGCTTTCACACGTGTTTAATAGACTTTTCCTCTTGGGAGCAGGTACAGGGTTCTTGCATGTGCATTTTTTTAAAAGTGGTGAGGGTGGGTCTTTTCAAAAATTTTGTGAAAATCCTCCACTATACTTTTAAAATTCGAACAATGGAAGGCTGTGTCGAGGACTGATGCATATGTTTGTTGATCCCACCTCCTGGTTTTATTAGAGGACAGTTAAAGTTTGAGAATAAATCAGAGGCCACAATTTTTTTTTTTTTTTTTAAGAGGCCAGAATTAAATCGATAAATTCAACAGGCCACGTAAAATGAAGCGTAGACTAGAGATCTCCAAACAGTCTGACAGGGCTGAAGAAAATCTGCAAATGTAGATGTTCATAGGCTCCTTTCGAAAAAGAATAGATACCAATATCTAATAATTATATAATCATTTTGATAAATAATTAAAGTAATTACTATACATTTTTAAATGCATGCAGCTGTAATTATGGAAACACACAAAGATACAAACAAAAGTTTTTTTTATGAAAAAGGTTTTTATTTTGTTTTTGAGATGAATACAAATAATTTCCCCGAGAATTAGAGGGCTTCATTAATAGGTTTGCAGCTATAAAGACAGATCAGTCTTTATTTTGAACAAGCTGTTATTCTACATTTTTCATCAATTTGTTCACCAGATATTGGCATCTGCCTCTCATTAAACAAAGAATAAACTTTAATCTCCATAAAGTGAATTTTGTTTGTGTCTGATGGACAAAGAAGCATCACCACAAAGCCTCCTCACTGAAACAACTCCCATTTTAACCCTCACTGCTGCTTAGTGGCCTGCCTATCCCTCTGCTTATTTGCATCCCAGTGACACCAGATAAACATCTTAAACTGGGAACATTTCAACCTTTATGCAAAGAAAAACCTTTTTACTGGCAGGACATTAAAAAACATTGTGACACAAAGGTCACAATAAGAATATAGAAAACAACAAGAAGAAAAGATAAACAAGTGAAACGTATTAAAGAGTTGGTCCTCTGGGCAGCAGGGGGCGCTAAAGAATTTCATTTTTAAATGTTTAGTAAGCCTGTAACAAAAGACGAAATATTAATTTAATTACTTTGGATCGGTCAGACAACAGAACAGCCTCCCTGCATTAAAAAGCTGGTTTATTGTATTTTTTTTATAGCATTAGTTTCCTGGCTGTGCTGGTTGGTTCCAACATGTCGGGGATGCAGCAGCTCAGGCTCCTGGTTAGCGAGCGGCTAACGGCGGCTGCAGAGGAGATCTTCGGGCTCTTTGAGAAAACAATAACGGAGTACCAGGAAGAGGCGGTCCGCTCCAAGAGAGAAATCATCCAGCTGAGACAGCAGATCGAGCAGCTGACCGTCTTACAGCCCCGAGTGTCTTTGTTCAAAGAAGGTTGGTGACGATGCTGTCAAAGCAGCTGTTGCTAAATCAGCTTTAAAAACAGCTCTGCGGCCATCACTGTTACAGTGACGTCAATAATGTTGTTGCATTGGTTGATGTAAAGTAGCTACATTGCATTTTGCTTATAGAAGGTGTGTATTTATAAATAGATAAATAAACAAAAGGTTTTTGTCAGGTTTAATCAAACTAAACATTTCCAGTACAGTCAGGTTTTATTTATATTTCAAGCAGGCATTTCCTTCTGATGGGTCATGTTTGTAAGGCTTTGATATGCCTATACTGCAAAACATATCTCTCTTTAACCACCATATAATAAAACTGGCTTAATTAATTAAAAGTTAGATAATTCATTTTCCACATACCAAAGAAAGAAAATTAAAAACAATCCACTGGACTTTGTTTCCAAGTTTGAAGACATTTGCCTCCCATCCAGGAAACTTCTGCAATTCAAAATTTGAGACTATCAAAATTCTAATCCAATTCAAAATTTTACTCTTTTAAAATTCAAAATTCAATTCAGAATTTTAGACTTTCAAAATTCAAAATTCGATTCAAAATTTTAGACTTCAAAAAAGGTTTCGTGAAAGGAAGCGAAACGTCTTCAAACTTGGAAA